ATCGTCATCACTCATAACACTCAGTATTTCTTCGTTCGCCGAATCCTCAAAAAAGCTGTCTGTAAACTGAGGCATACAGCAGGTAAAACAAAGCCATGTGCCATTCCTACGATAGGTGTTCAATTCCTTTCTATTCATGCCAGTGCACTTTAAGTGGAATGGGCCAGTACAACCAGAGCACAGCAGGCCATTTTGGTTCTTTCTCATAGTTTTGCTGCAGCCGGTGCACACACTTTTAGTAGGTTTCTCTCCCCTTCTCTTTCTTTCCACTGTAGGTCTGGGATTTTTTGAAACRTCTCCACTGATGGCAATTCTTGCCAGTTGAAAGCAGCAGTCGCTATTTGGGTAGTAGCTCAGTTTGCCTCCGAGATACCTCATTCTTGTTCTCACACATGCAGCCCTCGTAGTGAAAATATTCCTCAAAGTACAGGAATATTCGCAGTAGAAAACTGATCCATTGGTTATTGAAGTTTTCTTGGACATGTCAATGGAGCTAAATTAAATACCAGAATAAGTGTGACAAGAGGGCTCAGACTATTAAAAGTGGTAGTAACTCTACCACGGCCCGCCATCTTGTCACCTCACTCACTCGCAATGACTCTTGAATCAACTCCCTTGAATCAAGGCAAAGACGTAAGGTTCCGTTCTTTTCGACAACAGTTACCAGATTGTGTACCCACTCAGTTGTTTCTGGACAAGCAATTTTGATTTCTTCCTGCTCCATCTTATCTAGCTCCTTTTTCAGCTGTGGCGTAATGCTTTGTGGTACAGCAGGGGGTGGTAGCTGAATTGGTTTAGCATCTGGTGAGAGTTTAAAGCTGACCTCACCTTCAAAGGGACTGACCTGGCCATGAAAGGTATTGGAGAAGATCTGATTCAGGTCCTCCAAAGTATCACTTGTTACCTTACCAAGTGGTAAATGCTCCTTCCACTTCTTCTTATGATTGTGATAGTCGACTGCCGATTCTTCGGGGATGTGTACGGCCTCTATTAGGTATGGCTTCATGGATATACTTTGTGGTATGCACACTGGTGCAGCAGTCACAAGTTTGAACTCTGTATAGAATTCAAGAGCAAGGATGAAAGGACACTCCTGTTTGGTGATGTAGAACCTTGCCATGGTAGTGATGTTATTGCAGGTGACCTTGATACCTGTAGTTCCACAGTTCTGAAGATCTGCTCCAGACGTACTGTGGATGATGATGTCAGTAGGCTTCAGTTTCCTCAAGGAGAGCCTGATCTGTGGAAGCATGGAGATAGACATGCAGGATTCCATAGCACCAGTGTCAACCTGTGATCTCATAGGATTGACTGCTCTAATCTTTTGGATGAAACCCCACTGGAGCAAACACCTCACAAGACTCGCGATTGTTAGCAGAGTGGATTGATGCAGCACTTAGGTCGAAGTCATCATCATGTACACTGCTTTTCTGATCAGAATCGATGTCTATAGCATGTTGGTGTTTAGACTTCTTGTCTTTGTATGTCCCTTCTTTCTTGAGGCATGCTCGTTCAAAGTGTCCCTTTTTACCGCAGAATGTACATGTTGCAGCCTTGGCTGGACACTTGTTGCGGGTATGAATGTCTTCCTTGCACCAGACACAGGAGTTCTTTCCATCTGACTTAGGCTTAAACTGCTTTCTCTGGGACCTATTCTTTTGTGACTTTGGGTTGGGTCACGTGTGTATGACGCATCGACATGAGCATCACAAGAGTCTTGTAACTTTTTCATGGTGGCTTCCACCACTTCGTATTTTCGCATGAGTTCTAAGCAGTCTTTAGCAGACACATTTTTCCCCTTTGCCACTAGTTTTCGTTTACTCTCTTTGCTTACACAGCCATGAATAAGCTTATCCACAATGGGAAAGTTAGTGTAGTCTGGAAACTCAGCTTGATGATACAAGTCCACGATTAGGGAGTAGTTAGCTTTAGTAGCCTCATTAACTTTCTGTAGACACTGTAGAATTCCTCTCGCTTCTCTCTAAAGAAAATGAAGTGGGTGATACATGCAGCAAGTTAATCTAAGAGAGCTGTTGGTGTCATAATTCTCAGGTCTAGATCCTCGTTGAGCCTTGCTTCGATGAAAGATTCGGCAAGAGCACCCGCCCAGATATACAAATGATTGAGCTTCACTCGGTCTGACCTGGAATGTAGAGGTCCGCCTAGGGTTCTCTTGACCTCTTTTCTGCACAATTTGAATTATGAGGAAGCATTGCTGGAGGTCCAGTTGACCTTTGTTTGTGGTAAGATGCAAAAGTTTGCAATGCTATATGAAGTCACAATTTAAAAAAATTTGTTAACTGTAACTTGCCTTTCACTTTCATCTTTGTCCTTGCATTCTAACTCGTAATACTTCTCGTTATTGATGATTTCCTCTAGAAGCATGTCAATCTCGGTCACTTCTACATCGATGCCACTGGCTTTATCCTGCTCTTTCTTTTTAGCGATAAATTTTTCTTTTGAGAGATTGAATTTATCTTTGACGGCTCTTTGGGTAACGGAGAAGGCTGGATTCTTTACATCATGTAAATGGTCAACAATACTATTCCACAGATTACTAGGCTGTTGGGTTTGAGGTTTGTATTTAAATGGATCGGTGGCTAAAATCTCTTGCAAAAAGACATTATAAATAATAAATAAATAAATATCGTTAGCCAGGAGGCAACCTCACCCTTTGGTGATTTTCAGGCTGGTCCTGGCTAAAATTATAAATATACAGGAGATGAAAATTTGTTAAAAGTTAAAAAAGCATACAATAACAATGAGGTCCTAACATAGAGTTGA